ACATCCAAAAAACAAGGTACATAGCCTCGGGCACTAGGCTTAGGGGAAGAGCCCACTGTACAAAAAAAAAAAAAAAAAAAAAAAAGCAGCCCTCATCTGGCTGATGCACTGACAGTAATTCTCAAACACAAGCCGGGGCTTGGAGTGGCAAGCTGTGAGGCATCAGGGCAGCTTCTGTTCGAGGGCCCGCGAGGCGCGTGGACGTGGGGGCAGGGGTGTCAACAGGGCAATACGCTCACCTCCTGCTGTTCTGTGCTTGCGGCCACAGAGACTGGTGGGGATGCCTCTGGCTTTGGAGCTTGTGTTTCTTGCTCACTAGCTGAGCTCGTCTGTGAAAACAAAGGCAGAGAAATACTGTGGGAATAAAAGAGCTTATTCTGCAGAATTCAGACTCTAACTACATGCTCTTTATTTAAAGAGTTCATTTCCTTGGGGACCTAAGGTCCCAGCACTGGTCCTTAGTCCTGGGACGTCCCGCCACGGACCCCACCTCACTCACAGCTGTCCTACCTTCTCCGAGGCCTCTGCCCCTGGCGTTCTAAGGCTGGGGTGGTGACCGCGTGGGAGGGTGGGCTCTGACAAGTCACAACGATCGCCAAAGGCCTCACCCTCCAACTGCAGCCCGGACCCCCCCATCCTCCGGCCCCAGCCATTTAAGGGCAGGAATGGGAGCTGCCAACCCTCTGAGGTCAGTCAGCAGTGATCTTACTCTGCACCCAGGAGCCCGAAGATCAAGTAGCCACGTGCTCTATAACCCCAACTCAGGGATCGAGAAAAAATACTAACGTCAAAAAAGGTCTATGGGGCGTCCCTGGTGGCGCAGTGGTTGAGAGTCCGCCTGCCCATGCAGGGGACGCGGGTTCGTGCCCCGGTCCGGGAAGATCCCACATGCCGCGGAGCGGCTGGGCCCGTGAGCCATGGCCGCTGAGCCTGTGCGCCCGGAGACTGTGCTCCGCAACGGGAGAGGCCACAACAGTGAGAGACCCGCGTACCCCAAAAAAAAAAAAAAAAAAAAAAAAAAGTCTATGGACCTGTGACCAGAAGTAGGAATTTCCCTGGAAGCTTTATGACACAGGGAAGTCATGTTCTGTTCTGATAACTCAAGATTCCCAATTTACTCCCACAATTTGAAGCTCAAGCTGCATTCTAAAACCACCTAAAGACGACTTCACATTCATGAGTGTTCCTGATTCTAACATTTCCTCATCACCAGCAATTACGATTTACACAGATGCACATATACCGTTTACAAAGCTTCATAAATGGGACACAGAAGTAGCTGGGTAGGTACCTACAAGAGCAGTTTATAGCTTGTGTTCTGAATCGAAATCCCATTGAACCAAATCAGAGAAACACTTCCCAATGGCTGGAATTAATTAGGCTGCTGTCTAAGGAGCCAAATTCAGATGGGAAGGCAGCACATACACAAAAAATACATACACAACTGTGTACTCCAATATTTGAATTTGTACACAAACTCACAAGGGAAAGGCTGGATCAATGAGCTACAAGTATAAGCAAGCTTCTCCCATAAATAAGGTATGTTAAATGAGTTACAGCTCCACCTTTAGATAAATGAAGGGCAAAAGAACATTAAGTAATCTAATTTTAGCCGTGTAGCAGCCCCACTAGCTTCATTTCGTTGGTTAATTAATCAAAAGGATGCAAATGGAGGAGGAGGAAAGGTGCACATCCAGTGCGCTCTGCTGCCGTGAGTGAGGGCGCGGGGAGCCGGCGCGGGCGGCGACCTCCTTCTTCCCAAGAGGCTGGCAGAGAGGAGGAGACAGAGCCCTCGGGTGCGACAGACAGGAGGCACAAAACCATCATTCCCACCCAATAAAAACTTGCGTGAAAATGTACTGATTCACTCATTGTGGCAAACATTTCTAGTATAAACAGCGAAAGCTTAACACGGGGAAAGCAGAAGAGACGCTTCAATCAGACATTCCTCATGTCTGGAAACCCTCCTAGCACACTCAGGACTCTGACCAAGGATTGTTTTCTTTCCATCAGTAAATGTCCTTCCTACTTAAATCACAGGGTAGTGAGGGACTAAAACATGAAAATGGCAGGGGTGCTGCCTGCACAGGATGAGGTTCAGAGGTCAGAACCTCTGCCGCCACGCTGAAACCGCTCCGCTGGCCGCCCACGGAGATGCGAGGTCTGAGCCAGAAACCACCTGCTGCCTCACGGATCGCTACGCTGTCCACTAGTTTTACAGAAAAGCCACTGCTGTCCGCCCCCCTCCCCCCCACCACCCCGTTAACAACCCCAGTCTTTGCTTCTCGGGAGTCTGTATCTGCCCCGACGACCGTGTCTGGCCGTGCAGGGCCAGGAGGAGGCACCAGGCTGAGCAGCGGCAGGTTCTGCACATACTGAGGGGTGTGAACGGTTGCATGTATTTGCCTCTTAAAAACTGAGGACTCCAGGGAAAAGGCAGCATCACAAATTTGATTTAAAAAACCCTCTTGACAGGTGAATGTAAACAGGTGTGTGCCCAGAATGGTGGGGGCAATACAGATCCGCCTGGATTTTCTAACAACTGATCTAGGCAAGGATCACGGTCGTCCGCTAACCCACGGTGACCGCTGATTTCTCCCAGGGCCCTTCCCGGGGTGGGGTCTGGTCTGGCAGACACCACCTCCACCTAAGGGTCAAGAAGCTTAGCATCCCCAGTGCTGAGCAAACTGGCCTCTGCTCACGGGGAGAACACACCATCTCCCGTGCAGAGTTCACATCAAGATGTTCAACCCACATCTAATCGAGAGGAAGAGTGGAGGCCTTCTACAAGACAACTGGTCTGGACACTACAAGAACATCAATGCTATAAAACACAAAGTGGGCGGTGGGGGGTACAGGGGCACGGCTCCAGATTAAAGGAGACCAAAGAGACACGAGCTCTGGCCCCTGAGCTGGAGGGAAGGCAGCTGTGCGCTGCGGCATCAGTGCAAACCATCCCTGCGTGGTGACGGCACTGTGGATACGCAGGGGAACGTCTTCAACTCAGGAAAGAAACGCTGGAGTACTGAGTGTATTAGGGGTCATGATGCCTGCAACCCACACTCAAATAGCTCAGGGGAAAAAGGTCCATGTGCATGTGGAGAGAGAGAGAGAAAGCAAGTGCAGCAACATGCCAGGTGAGAGATACATATGTTCACTGTACTATTCTTTCAACTTTCCTGCAGGTTTAAAATTTTCTAATAAAAAGTTAGAAAACAAAAGCAACAGCAAACACATCAGAAGTCCCATTGATGAGATTTCCTTTCACTAGTTTCCCGTTGCGGCTTGCTTTACAGGGCTGCTGGGAAGGGCCCATCCCTGCAGTTTTGCAGAGACTGTCCTGCCTCCACAGAGTGACGTGAAGAACGCGCAGCGGAAGAGGAGGGAAGCGGGATCCACTCAGACCAGCAGCCACTCCCGAAGCTGGAGGGGCTGCTCTGGGTTCCTCCTGTGTGGGGCGGGTCTCCCTGAGCAGAGGCGATGAACTCCAGCACCAGGACCGCAACAGGGGCCCGGGGCCAGACTATTCTTGCAAGCCACCCACCTCCGCCCCGGCGAGGCTACACCGTACTGAAACGGGAACACGACCGGCTCATTCTTCACCGTGAGACCTTGTGGTTTAGAAACTGCCTGAAATATTCACCACAGAGGCAGAGGCCGGTGTGGACTTTCTCCCGGAAGATGCCAAGCACTCTCTTACCCTCCACCTAACTTGAGGGGCCTCTCTGCGAACGCCTCAAACACCCTAACTGCTTCCAACTGTACACATTTAGCCCCTGGTCAATTGCAGGATCGGCACAGCTGAGCTAAACTGCCCGGGGCCAATGTACTGTGGGTTTGCGGCCCTGCAGGTAGTCAAATCACAGTAAGCGATTTCTAACTTTTCATCAATTCATCTGTCAGTGTAAAAAAATAATTACTTACTCTAAACGTCAGATCGTGTGCAAGAGGTGCAGTGTTGAAGTACTCAAAAATAGAATCCTGAAAGTCTGGAAGTTTGAGTCCTGTAAGAACAAAACGAGACTAGTCAAGGTAAAAAGTTTAAGATGCAAAGACTCAGTGTCATTGAGATATCAATTCTGTCAGTTAAATGATAAATCTGAGAGAGTAACTGAGGAAGACTATCTGGAAATCTCTAAAAATGAGGGGGCGGGTGGGGGGAGGAGACCTACCAGATACTAAAGCAGATTCACTGAAGCGTCTCTAATTGGAAGCGGGGTGGGGGGGGGGCGCTGCCCATGGACAACGAGCAGGGGAGAAAATCCAGGAAGAGCCCCCACCCCCACAGTAATGAAATCTCAGCCATGGTAAGACCCACATCTGAAATCAGTAGCGAGGGGAACTTTTTAATAACTGGTACTGGACAACTAACTAGCCACAGGAAAAAGATAAAACAGGGTCCGCCCCTCAAATTGTACACCATAGTAAATTCCAGATAAGTCAGTAATCTAAATGTTAAAAGTGAGACTATGCAAGCGTCAAAAGAAGACATGGGCGAATTACTTGAGCACCTGGGGACATGGGGGTAGCCCTGTAACTCAAAAAAGGGAAAAAAACTGATAAATTTGACACACAAAAATTAAAAAAACAATACAAACACCTTACACTTGGCAAAACAAAAACAATAGCAGCAAAAAACCATCATAAACAAAGACAAAAGACAAACTAGGAAAAATATTTGCAACTTCTGTCCAACAAAAGGTTCTAGTCCTCAATACATAAAAAGCTTCTAAAAATTAAGAAAAAGCCACAACCTGAATTTTAAAAAATGGGCAGAAAACACAGATACCTAAGTCACCAGAATAAGAAATACAAATAGCCCTCAAACACACGGAAAGATGTGCAATTTTGCTCATAATAAGACAAAATGCAAATGTGGTGCTACTTCTCACCCATTCAGAGTAAGATCACACTTTGTGGGCGGGGCTCTGGGGCAGGAACGCTCGCCTGCACTGTGGTGGAGACACAGATGCACAAGCATTGGAGCAGAATCCAGCACTGTTGAGGCTAAGTGTATGCATGCTTAACCTTTGACTGGCAATCCCACATCTGGAAACCTATCCCCAAAATACACAGACAGAAATAGGAAACACTATATGCACACGTCTACTCACCACAGCACTCTGTGATAGCAAGAGACCAGAAGAGCCCAACACCCAGCAGGGTGCTGTGCTGTGCTGGCCGAAGGGTCTGGGACCAGCTGAGGGCTGTGGCCTCGCCCGAGCACAGAACAGAGCAGGGCAGGCCTTTGTGAAGTCATGGGGGACACAACTGTCTAATTATACAGGTACAGGTATTTGCTTTATATTTTCAAGGTGAAACAAAGGAAGAATAAACCAAAAACTGTGACTACCTTTGGAGAAGGCATCTTTGAACAAACTCTGCTTCAGAATTTGCACTTTGGAATTATGCTAAGTGCTTTTCTTTACGTAACTAAAAACTAAAAACTATTAAACCTAAAAGAAATGAAATGTAAAATAAAACCATTTCATTAAAAAAGGTTTATATTTAAATCATTCAGGGGCTTCCCTGGGTGGTGCAGTGGTTAAGAATCCATCTGCCAATGCAGACATAGGTTCAAGCCCTGGTCCAGGAAGATCCCACATGCCGTGGAGCAACTAAGCCCATGCGCCACAACTACTGAGCCAGCGCTCTAGAGCCCACAAGCCACAACTACTGAAGCCCACGTGCCTAGAACCCGTTGCTCTGCAACAATGAGAAGCCACTGCGATGAGAAGCCCACGCACTGCAATGAAGAGTAGCCCCCACTCTCAGCAACTAGAGAAAAGCCTGCGCACAGCAACAAAGACCCAATGCAGCCAAAAATAAATTAAAAAAAAAAAAAATTCAGACGTGCTGATTCTAATTTACCAGTATCTGCTCTAAACTTTTCTTCCATCTTCTTCTTCAAAATTTCCATTTCTTCTAATAATTCTCTATTCTTGGCCTCGGAATCCTTTAGTTTGCTAAAATAAAAAATAAAAGCTTTAAGTGCCCAGAGTCCAGGTCATCTCTGTGCTGGCTCAGAGAGTGTCAAGATGTTGGGGGGTGGGGGGGGAGGGTGTTTAACCCAGGTGCCCGGGAAAGCGGCAGGGCAGGCACGACAAGTAACCCTGTTCATACACTTCAAAACTGCAGACTCTCATGCTCTCATTTTTTCCTGAAAACACTAATAAGCACAGCCCCCAGGAGGTGAAGTGCTCACACATAACCGTGCACCTAGGTCTAACTGAACACCGACTAAGTGCCAGCCCCCGGGTGGCCCAAGGCCCCGCAGCCACCTTTCAAAGGAGAGATTCATGTCCTTGACCTTCCTCAGCTCCTCCTGGACGAGCTGTTTGGCCCGGATCTCCGCCTCTAGAGCTGACTGCAGTTCTAGGCGTGCAGACATGTCCAGCTTCTGACTACGGCGAACTTTCCAAAGGGGATCCTGTAGAGATCAGTTCAAATATTAAAAATACATTCTTAAGCTATTTACTTGTTTAACAAAATTAATGCTAACAAATAAGTAATTCATCTTCTTTGAATCTTAAGCTTTTATTATATTTAAGTATCAACTCTCAGATGTTATTAAAGTCCATGGGATCCAATTTTAGTTTTGTGACTTCTTTCTTAGAGGTCTTCTAAAGAATAAAATTTACAGGTTTTCTTTTTTCTTTAAGAATAAAACTGATCCTGTAGTGTAATTTCCACATGGCTCCACTACGCTCTTTTACAAATTTAAGTTACATTCTAGGATCACAGTTATCTTATTTTTCCTACGTCTTGAAACATTTTGCTATTTCATCATCTTAGTAACTATGTCATTACTCATCAATTATTCCTACCTATGATAAAAGATTAAAATGATAACAGAAAGGAAGAATGATGTAATGACCTAGAAGGTTGAAGCCATAGTGAAATAAACCAGCTTGAGGACAGCATTCTTCCATTTTCTTTTTGAGCTGCCTAATGTATCTCACCGACTTGCAAGAGCGTAAGAGGAATCTGAAGACATTATCTTGCAGGCTATTTTTTAGGCTTTCACTGAATACGGTTAAGAATTCTTCATTCTTCCTCCATAACAAGAAAGAGGAGAAAACGGAGTGAGAGAGATGGCTCACAAGCACAAGAGGGTACGGAGGAGCGGGCAGGGCTCCATCTAGCGGTGACAGCAGGACCGATAAGCTGAGAGAAGGCTCAGGGGACCACATCCTACGGGAACCTTCTCAAGAATGGATAAGTGAACAGACAACACACTTCTAAGGACATTCTCATCTAGTTAGTCCTTCAACACGAAGAACTATCCACACTGTATTTTGCAACAAGAATCTCAACAGGGGCTTCCCTGGTGGTGCAGTGGAGAATCCGCCTGCCAACGCAGGAGACACGGGTTCAATCCCTGGTCCGGGAAGATCCCACATGCTGCGGAGCAACTAAGCCCGTGCGCCACAGTTACTGAGCCTGCGCTCTAGAGCCCGCGAGCCACAACTACTGGAGCCCACATGGCAAAACTACTGAAGCCTGTGTGCCTAGAGCCCGTGCTCTGCCACAAGAGAAGCCACCACACCACAATGAAGAATAGCCTCCGCTCGTCCCAACTAGAGAAAGCCTGCGCATAGCAACGAGGACCCAATGCAGACAAAAATTAATAAATAAATTAAAAAAAAAAGAATCTCAACAATCCCATTTTGCTAAAAGGACATATTCTTTCATCTTTTATGAGGTTTGTGCACAAACTTTATTTAATGCAGTTTATAAATGCCAGTGTACCTGTAAACATGACTGGAAGAAAAGAGAAAAATAGAAACAAAAAAATTTACTGCTCATTCTAATTGGTGTTATAAATGTAAAAATGAAAATGTTTTCCAATCATGGAACAAAGAACACAGCGGTATTTTTTCTTTCAATAAAATTATGAGCTGTCCATGTTTTCAAAAGTACTGTGTTCTGGACATTCCTGGTGGCACAGTGGTTAAGAATCCACCTGCTGATGCAGGGGACACAGGTTCGAGCCCTGGTCTGGGAAGATCCCACATGCCGCGGAGCAACTAAGCCCGTGTGCCACAACTACTGAGCCTGCGCTCTAGAGCCACAACTACTGAAGCCTGCACGCCTAGAGCCGATGCTCCACAACAAGAGAAGCCACCACAACGAGAAGCCCGCGCACCACAACCAAGAGTAGCCCCTGCTCACCTCAACCAGAGAAAGGCCGCACGCAGCAAGGAAGACCCAACACAGGCAAAAATAAATAAATAAATAAATAAAAACAAAAGATGTATTGTGTTTTGGTGACAGAAGCGCAAGAAGAGTGAGAGGTCAAGGATGAGCTGGAACCTATCAGAGACGGACTCCTGAGGTTCGGCATCTACAAGCCGCACGTGCTCCAGGCCCCGTGGGATGAGGGCCAGCAATTCAGTTCACCCGAAAGGACTGGCCCCCCCACCTTAGTAAATATACCTTCAAACCAGGAAAACATGGAACAGAACTGTGCGTTCACTAAGTGTAACTCTAGCCAGAATCCTAACGAAGCTTTGTTCCTCTTCACCTTTACTCTTACTCTGTGAACTATTCACAAAGTAACTCACATGTGCGTATTTTAACAAGGGTAAATGGTGCAGGAGAGGAGGGGGCGGGAGCTGCTGCACAGGGACCAGCACCACCAGCCCGGCGCTCAGAGTCACACAGACTTCTGGACAGATGGACAGATCTACACACTAATAAAGCAAACCTCCTCGATGGCAGAATCCCGTCCTGCTAAGTTAAGACTGCAGCACAGAGCCTGCTACTCAACAGTGATTTGCTAAATGAATGAATGGTATCAAAGTAATCTGTGATCTCCTGACGCCCGACAAGATGCTAGCCACACAGAAACCTCCCATGTCACTGAATTACCTGCACGTTCACATCTGGAGCCACCTATGATCCCCCAGCAACAGAAGTGCGCATTTCAGACCCAGACCTACCAGTGTCCTTGACCCCAGGCTGGAGCTCCTCAGCGCCTCGAGCTCTTCGGTCATCTTCGAAGCCAGGGCCTGAAGATAGCCCCGGGCATCCTTCTCGTCGCTGACCCTGGAGGGGAACGGCCATCCCGTGAGCCAGAGGCGCCCACCGCCCCTCCTCAGGACACGGCGGCCCAATGCCATGTCACCCCCCCCCGTCACCCGTGACAAGCCCACACCCTGTTAGGGGAGGCCAGTCCCAGCTCGCTCTCTGGGGCTCCTGGGCCTTCGTGCAGCCGTGCTTCCCAAAAGCTCTGCCTCCGTTTCAGCCAGGACATGCGGGGCTGGGGCCAGCGCGACCCACACCCTTGGGGACTTGGTGGTGCTGTTTCTCCACCTTCAGTCCAATGTCATGATCACTGGACAGAACTGCTGCCCCCATACGGTACCGATTTGGGGGAAACAGGCGAGATCTGTAGGGTTAGACCTCAGAGACACAGCATGAGGTGTGAAGGAGGAGGTGGCAGCTGGGGAAACCATGATGGGGGCGCCAGCTGGGCCGTACCGCGGGGCTCGCCACGCACGTACCACTGAATGATTTCCGCGATCTGGGCTTCCCAGTGGGCAACCGACTCCTTCTTGGCTGCCAGATCCTGCAGTTCATCCTCCAGCTGTCTGTTCTGAGCTGTGAGTTTATCCACAAAGGAACAAAGCTGAAATTAAACAATTGTAACACACAACTGTTACTGGGCATCCTTAGCATTATGAAAACTACAAGTTCTTTTGAATTTTGAAAGTTATCTTTAATCGTTATGAGAGTTTCCCAAACGAAGTTTCCAATGTGGACTTTCTGATCACATCAAACTTAAGTCACGTTTCAATACAAATCTTAACATCAAAGTGATTAGAGCTACTGTTTTCAGGTAATTAGCAGCTTGTAACCAAATGAAAACATCCCACTTAAAAGATCAAACATATTATTACTTCACTTAAAAATTAAAATACTTAGAACACCAAACTTCTAAGACTCAAGAACGAAAAAATTACAGCATCCACAAAGCGACAGTTCAGATCCTTTAAATCACCTTTTCGTTTTCAGAAGTTAATTTCTTGTTTTCCTCAAGCAGCATCGCCCTTTCTCGTTCGTACTTGTCTTTGACTGTGCCCACGGCCTCCTCCATCTCACTGTGCCTGAGAAGGCGGGAGAGGTTTTAGGGGTTCCTGACTTTGCCAACGCTCCTCCCCGGGCCCGGCACAGCCCGAGGCCTCTGCACCGTGGGGCTGTGCGGACTCACCGCTCACGTTTGGACTTCTCTAACTTGTCCTTCAGCACCAGAACCTCCTTCTGCAGGGCCAGCTGCTGGCTTTCAGAGTCGTGCACCTCTTTCTTCACATTCTTCACCTCCAGCACGTGGGAGGCCTCGCGTCTCACCAATTCCTCTTCATAAAACAGGACTTTCTTCTCAAGCTCAGATTTTATCTTGGAAATCTCCTGCTGATGTTCTAAGGCGGCACCTGGCCCACGGCCTCCTTGCTTCATCTGAAGATAAAGGTTGGAATAAATTACAAATCTCTGCACCCTCCTCGAGGCTCAGGCATCACCCCGACCACGGCAGACACTTGCAAGCGCTTCCTCCTCTGCCCTGCCGAAAGACACGGATCCTTCTAACAGCTGCAGGGCAGGCTTTGGTGAGGGCGGGGTGGGGGGTGTGCCTGCCCTGGGAGGGGTGAGCTCAGATCTGCCTGAGACCAGAGGCCCCATCTCACACTCTGACACGAATGGTCCTCAAGGTCTCCTCACGCTGTCCGTTCATTCACGCAACAATATTCTCTGGAGGGCTGACCGTGTGCCAGGCACACTCCTGCTAACAGGGTCACACGGGTGGTGACGTGGGAAGTGAGCCATCAGGCTAGGAAGGTCTTCATCACGGGGGAGGCAGGGGCTCAGTCAGGGCAGAGGCACTGAATGAGGGGAGTAGGGGGACAAGCTGCAAGTGTCTGAAGAACAGAAGGATCGGGGGGCACGAGGGAGGAGGTCAGGGTTATTCGAGCGCTGCGGGAAGCCGTCAGAGGGCATTAACGACGTGACGAGCTCTGACTTTGGTGTAACGAGCTGCTGTGTGGAGAGCAGACTGCAGAGGGTACAGAAAGGGACGGGGAGACGCAGTCACAGGCCACCGAGTCCGGGCAAAAGGTGTTGCCCGTGGAAGCAACGGGGGACAACGGGGAGAAGCTGACACCTCGGGGATGTATGCTGCGGGGACGGGCCAGGTGTGAGGGTGAGAGAAGACCCATCGCCTGCATTTCACAGATGAGGAAACCCAGGCTCAGAAAGTGGAGTCCCGGATCTGAAGTCTCGCCAAGCCCATGAGGAGCCACTACAGCCCTCCCCCCGCTCCCCCGCCCCTCCTCAGCCACCCTACTGCCCTCTGGCCCTGGACGAGGGCCCCGGGCCACCAGCCCGGCTCTTCCACTGTCAGCAGCAGGACATGGGCTGTAAGCTTTTCCAGAAACGGACTCCACCGAACTTAGAAACCCCAGACACAGAGAAAGCATGAGGTGTCAGTTTGCTAGGGCTGGCTCTAGACTGCCGGAAACATTTACACGAGGAAAGAAACGAAGGAACCCAGTTTTTAAAGGTGAGAAGCTCCCATAAGCTTTCACATTGCGTTCCCGGCCCACACCGGGTCTTGTTGGAGCCCCGACAATCGCATCGTTTAAGGTGACTCCCGCCCGGCAGCCGCTAAGGATAAGAGTCTGCTCTCTCAGTAAGAATAAAGACCTAACCGAGCACTACCTTGAGGGCTTCAAGCTCACTTTCTATTTGCTTGGAGAAGTTCTCGCTGTGCTCACGCAGCTTGCGCTCCTTGGAGGCCTCGGCCACGGCGTCCTCGAGCTGAGCTTCCAGCTAAGGAAGGAGAACAGCGCTTTTTATCAACACAAACCAGCTCCACGGCGGCAGCCAGGCCTTTACCCAGAAGGAACTCTAAGCGAATGAAAGCTTGTAATTCTTCGCTCTTCATCAGATTCTGATCACAAAGTAAAGGCTGAGAAATACACTTCAGGACTTAAAACAAGTTTAAATTCTAATTTAAATTGATACTTTGAAACTACATTTCAAGAAAAGATACCAGTTTGTGAAAACAAATACCCCAATACCTGTAGGATACAGATTCGTTTTTTTGTTTGTTTGTTTGCTTTTTAATTTTACTTATTTATTTTTTTTGGCTGTGTTGGGTCTTCGTCGCTGCCCGCGGGCTTTCTTTAGTTGTGACGAGCAGGGGCTACTCTTTGTTGCAGTGCATGGGCTTCTCATTGCGGTGGCTTCTGTTGTGGAGCACAGGCTCTAGGCGCGCGGGCTTCAGTAGTTGTGGCTCGCGGGCTCTAGAGCGCAGGCTCAGTAGTTGTGGCACATGGGCTTAGTGTCTCTGCAGCATGTGGGATCTTCCCAGGCCAGGGCTTGAACCCGTGTCCCCTGCATTGGCAGGCGGATTCTTAACCACTGCGCCACCGGGGAAGTCCCAGATTCACTTTTTTATAACGGAAGACTTGAAACATACACAAAAGTAGATAGAGTGGTATAATGAAGCCCATGTGCCATGACCCGGCGTCAAGAGGTAGCACCCTGGGCCTGCTTCAGCTGCATGGCTACTCCCCAATCATTTTAAAGCAAACCCCAGACACAGTATCATTTCACCCAGAACTGGAATGGTCACGCTTAATTAGGGGTTCACTACAAAGAGTTACAGTTGGCTAGAACTACAAATGTACTGGGGTTGCAAAATCAACTGTCTAAGAAGAAAACAAATAGGCATTCTGAGGCCGAAGGACGAAGAGCCCTGGACATGAAAGGAACAGGAGCACATGCTCTGCGCCTCCCGCTCAGTTTACCGAGTAAACCCAACAGAATGTTAAAGGAAGGGTTGTGGGCAATATGTTGCCTGTTGGTAGCAGAACGTTTGAAATCATCTCGGGCAGCAGTTCAAAGTGGGGTCCTGAGGCCCTTTTAGGGTCTGCAAGGCCCTTTCCCTTCTAAGTCCCTACCTTAGGAGCTGGGCTTTCTTCATGTACATTATACAAAAGAGCCTATCACTCCAGACAATGCAGAAACAGATACGAGAACCCGGGTGTTTTCTATTAAGTCAGACATTAAAGAAAGGCATAAGCATGTTAAAAACGCCACACTTCTCACTATATTTTAAAAAACTGGTCACTTTTCATAAAAATGTTATTTATGTTAACATGTAATGAGTCTGTTGTTATACTGAACATTTTTTCAGTTTTAATTTCTAACGTGGTAAACACTAAGACCTATAACCACACAAACAAAAGCCCTTCGGGGCCCTCAGTGATTTTTGAGTGTCAAGGATCCCGAAGCCAGTCTCAGGACCGCTGCTCTAGGGCAGCTGGCGTTGCGCACCTAGAAGCCTTTGTGTCTCCTGAAGCCATGCTGCGTCACATCGTGACGTGTTTCTATGGTATTTCTTGTTCGTGAATACCCGCTATTCTGCTTTAAAATTTTAGTACTACGGGAACTTCTTTTAATAACTTCACAAAAAGGGAACGAGGGCTGAGAGCTACAAAATAGACGCTTAGCAAAGCGGCTACTTGGCTTCACGTGAAATTTAAGATCCATTGTATCTTCAAGTGATTTACGTGACGCAGCCTAAGCTCCCAAAACTGTTTTACTAGGATCACCCAGGCGCCCCACCAGCGTCCCCGGAAGCCCCGAGAAGCTACCTCCTTCCTGCTCTTGTCGGCCCTGCGGGCCTCCTGCCTCAGCGCGTCCATCTTCTGCACGGCCGCCTCCACCTCCTCCTCCCGGTCCCGCAGCTGCCGGGACACCTTCTGCTTCTGGGACCGGAGCTCGGCCATGCGCTCATTGAGCTCTGAGAACTCCTGCAGGGCCAGCTTCCGCTGCTGGTGGGCGTCTTTCAGTTCCCGGGCCTGGGACTTCAACCGCTCGGAAGCCTCAATCAATTGCTGAACACAAAAGAGTTATATTACAGATGGTTTACGTTTGCCTAACAAGGACTGGACTGGAAGGTGAGAAGCGCTGTCTTCCACTGTATTAAGGGGTTAAAGTGACAGCAGATCTGGTTACAGGCTGTAGCCACAGCCCTGAGAACTGACCTTCCTGGAAAAAGCCCTTTGTTTGTCCCAGCGCAGCCTGAGGAAGCCCATGTGAGACCAGTGAGACTCTCCTATGACGTGAGCAGCTTGCTCACAGAGGCAAGTCTGGCTCGGGAATTTCGACCTCTCCCCTATGTCATCCACACAATCACAAAAGTAGATGAAGCATGAATCTGGTCACCAATTTACTTACTTAAACCCAGCAGAATCAGAAAAGAACATATTATATACAAAAATGCTTAAGATTTCAATCAAAGTAAAGAACTGTATAAAAACAATCTGCTCCCTGCAGCCGATCCCTTGACAACTGGGCTGCTCGGTCACTGTGGCACCTGCTGGCCTGCGGCTGGAAGCAGCAGGATCTGAGCAGGCTGGCAGGGCAGCTCCCACCACAGGGAGGAGGCCCCTGTGGACCCGCCCAATACAAGTTTCTCCAGCCCACCTGCGCCTCTAAGATGAAGCCCTGCAGGTGGTACAATACCACGGGGAACGGAAATCCTGCTCGATTCAGAAAACAGACCCCAACCACAGGGTCAACAACTGAGTGTGCTTTAGGAAACACGGTCCTCACCGGTGTGAACATACTGCTGTCTGAACACAGCTGGACGTGTCTCACTGAAAATCAATGTCATAAAGGAGCTATGGCCTCTTTCGCAAAGCCTGGCCAGAGCTGCAGGCCAGGCAGGAAGGACAGGGACTGTGGCTCAGGTGAGGACACGTGCCCTAAGCCAGCAGGGTCAGTGCAGGGAAAACCCTCAGCCCTCACACGGGGATACCGCCCGCTCAGCAGGCCCGTGTCCGAGGTTAAAGACGACGACCAGAAAGTGCGCCCGTGTAGCCGCGGTGCTGAAGAGCACCCACGACCGCGATCGGCCCCACGGTAACTGGGCGCCAGTTTGGCTCCGTGTGAGCCTCGGCAGCAGGGGCCAGGATCTGCACACAGGCGAGGGGCCTGGATGTCCTCAAACGTACGCACGGACTCAACCTCACACTCTGCAAGATCACGTAAGCCTCTCTCACACAAACGAGGCCTCTTGACTACCTTGTGGAAATCCTCCTTTTCCTGCCGCACCAGGCGGTACTGTTTCTCCAGGCCTTTCAGGCGATGCGTGGAATCCTCGTGCTCCTGGCGAAGAGTCACCGTGTCCTCAAGCTGTCGCTCGAGCCTATTTGAATCTGAGCAAGAGAGAAAAGAAAGCGTGTCCCCTTACATGCACAACTGTGATCGGACCTACGGACAGGGAACTATTTAATAATCCCAAATGCCCTCGAGGCTTCTTTGACTTTCCCTCTCAGGCACCCACATGGCCGCCTGCACACCTGAGCAGACCCACCAGACTTGGCTCTGCCCCTCTGTCTACGCACCCTTCCCCGGGACCGTGAGCCCCAGGGCGGCATGTGCCTCTCTGTCTCGCCCTTGCTCCCTGTGTGCGCCAGCACAGTGCAGCCGAGTGGTGCAGGAGGGTTTTAGTAAGTAATGGACTCAATGGAAGCCCTTTTCTGGATCGGGATAGTGGGTCCCAGATAGGAAACAGAGAGAAGGCAATTGACTCGGGTTTGATTTGAGATGAGAGTCAAGTGCAGCAGCAACCCATGTATCAGGTAAAGGGTTAAGACTTAAAGGTGACTTGAGTCTTCAGGAAGCTCTGATGACCTAGGAACCACAAAACACACACTCGCGTGACAACAGAACCAGCATCTAAAACACTGGAAAGTGAGTACAGCCACTGAGGGGAGCTTCAGAAAGGAAAGTTACGGCAATTCTGTCTTAGAGTGACAAAGAGGAGAATTAAGAGAGAGAAATGCAAAATATTCTGAGAGTTTATGCATAAAATATTAAGAACTGATTCTAGCTGTAACTATAACATTATAGTATTAGAGTTAAGCAAGTTGGAGAAATGATTTTAAATAAGCTGGTAAAACACCAGAACTCTTTGCTAAAGTTTAACCTTTATTTCCCTGCTTTTCCATCCAATGAAAAGGACTCTGAAAATTTTCTTGGCAGAGACGAATGCCCAAGAATAGAGACTAAGCAGTTTGACTTTAGAACACTTACCTGCTATTTTGTTCTTCAAACGTTCGATTTCTTCGTTCAGCTTTTTGATCTCTTTATCCCGGGCTGAACTACCCAGGGCCCGGGCCGAGCCGTGGAGGGACTGGACGGTCTGGGTGGACTCTGGGGAAGAGACACACATGAGTGCAGGCCCACGGCAGCGGCAAGCAGACCCCACTGCGGAGGCCCCGCTGCCACTCACCCTGCAGCTTCCTGCTCAGCTCCAGCCTCTCCTGTTCCAGCCTCCGGATCCTCCTCTCATAGGCTTCAACCTGCAGGCTGTTCTCCAAATCCCGCTGCACACCCTCGTCTTTGGTTAACGTACTGGACTGCATTATGCTCTTCAGAGAGCCCCGGTCAGAAAAACAGCTGCAAATAAAGCAACAGGGTTTTCTGATCTACTGAGAATTTACAGTGATTCCATTAGCATTTAAAAACTTCCTGGGGTAAAAGATAAGCCTTTTTAAATTGGCAAACAAAAACACTTGTGAAAAGACTTTATTGTTTATGGAGCCAAAATTAGACAAGAGTCTTCCTTCCTGCAAATGACTGGGTGACAACGGGCAGCGAGGAGGGACGCCCTGAGAGCTGGTCAGAGGCATTGCCTCTGCAGGGCAGGGGACGTTCATTTCTTTCTTTCTTGTTGAAGTACACTGTTGATTTACAGCCGTGTTAGTACAGGGCGTGACTTCTACATCATCGCGTCCACTCGACCAGACACTGAAAAGAGAAGGCCTTCTGCATGAGGAGCTGGGCTGCTGGGGCCTGGCTGGGCTCAGGCAGAGGCTTCCCAGGACGCTCACCCTGGAGGCCCGCGAGGGCACGCTGGCTCCACACTGACTGGGGACGGTTCCTTCAACCCTCCGGGGCTCATCTTCCCCCGAAGACTGAACACCCTGTAAGGGTCCTTCCATTCCAGCACTCTCACCAGCACAGTTAAGCTCCTCACCAACGACCAGCCGACTCACAACGCACAGACTAAGGCCGAGGATGGTTCTCTCCATCAGAGCTTAACTAGGGGACAGGTTACTTAGTTCCTCTTGCATTTAACGTGACAGTGATGTCAGGGACGTTTCTGAGTCCTACAAGGCATGCAGTGAGGCACCCACCATGCAAGTGCAAGCACACACACACTCACAGGAGGGGCTGGCTGGTGTTTCTCAAAGGTGGCCCGAGGGTGCTGTGCCGGCTGGCACTGCCGGGGTCCGGGGTCCATTCCAGGAGGAGGTTCCCTGGACCCAACCCAACACACCTGAGCCTCGGTCGGGGGGACGGGGCTGGGATCCACAGGTGTGATAAGCATCCAGTGAACTGAATGCAGTGGGAAGGTCTAGCGCCTCTGCAGAGGGGCTAATAAATCAATATGCCCAGCACACCCTGGAACGCCTCCTCTTGGCTGGAAGGCATGTGCCGTAACTTTGGCTTACGTGCTGTTTAACTCTGGCATCCACACCTAAAGAGAGTTTCTACAAGCTTGAGCACAAGTAACCCTCTTCTGCAAGGAATCTGTATGACTTCAGGCACCGTGGCAGCTCCATCTGTTTTATTTACCCGCCTTTCTTCCTAACCCCTCTCTTCTCGGCCCAGTTTCCTTTGAAAAGCAAGTTAGAGTGTCTCCGGCAATGCAACTCTGCCAGAGGCCCATTCGAGACAGAGGCCGACGCAGACAAACACCAGCCAGGGGCTCCCGGGGCTGGAGCCACATGTGGGGCTCATGCTCTCAGCTCTGGCGGGGACTGTACTGCAGCCCCACCCATGGGAGCGACGGGGCCGTGGCTAAGAGCCCTGCAAAAGCGAGTGGGAGCCCTGATGAAGATGGCGCTCAGCCGGGCGTGAATGGACACCGTGCCACTAACTGCGGCCACTGATGTCCCATCAGCACAAATCCTGCCAGTGCCGATGGCCTACAGAGATCAGGCGCTAGCAAACTATGGCCCGAGGGCCAAATCCTCTCGAGCCTGCTTTTGTACCTCCCATAAGCTGAAAATGGTTTTTACGTTTTTAATGGGTTGTTAAAAAAGAAAAGTATACAACAGAGATCACAAAGCCTAAAGTATGTGCTACCAGGCCCTTTACGGAGAAAGTCTGCCGACCCCACAATATGTGGCATCACGTGCAGCACCAGGTGTGCATTTTTAAAGGACAAAGCCATCCAACGCTCCCATAAGCACAGCCCTCTCAGCGCTCGGACTGCTCACCCACGCCCCACCCCGACCCCCCCACCCCGCCCCGGTGGGAAGGCTCCTGCTCTGTTGCTGAGCGATAAATGTTGACATACCTTTCCGTGGTGAACGTAAAACCGATGAATGGCAAATGTAATCCAGAAAAGCCCGTATGAGAACCAGGAGGTAATATTTCCTGTGCAAGAACACACACAACATAAACGAAATTATGTCCAAACAAATGGCAAACAAGGGGGAAAAAGTATTACCCCAGGATGAACTCAAGAGTGCAGCGGGGAGAACGGAGGGCGCTTCTGGAATGTTGCCTCCATGGTGCCACCTGCGTGGGGCTGGGTACTGGCAGGTCCACTTCCCACTCCTGGCAGGGGCCAAAGCGTGACGCAGTTAAGGGGATAAACCCACTGCTTTTGATGATCATAATGGCACGGGCCCAACTTGGATTAGGCTGCTAACTGTGAACCTTCTAAAGCGGCAAGATCCCCACTCACTGTGACCCTGGGCAGGGAGGAGTGGGGGACCCGGGGCAGGGCCTTGGGCTCTGGGTTCTTGGCCTGAAACAGAGGCCAAGGCAGAAGCAGGGTTTGGAACCCAAAGGTAGACTATTTTAGACAGGTTTACAACTCTATTTTTCAATATGAGGATCCTTCTCTATTAAAAATAAAAGTAAAGTTATTTATCTGGAGAATTTCAGTGTGGAAACAGTTTCTTTGAAGTCCAGGAAAAATCCTTTCAACAATGATAATACTTTTCTCAGTCTTTTCTCACATCATCTAAACGTCAGCTCTTATTTTACTAAGAAAAAGTCTGTAGGAAATAATCAAGATTTTTCTTTTACTTGGTTGAAACCTCAGTTTCTCTATCCCCAAACAAAGACACACGTACAGACTAATAAGGCTGAGTTTGATGAGGCCAAAACAGTTTTACAGCATATGAGCAAAACTCTCTGGGGGCCAAAGGTATACTGACAAGTGCACCAGAGGCCCTGGCAGAAAAGGTCAGACACCAGACGGGTCCCAGGGCCACATCCCAACTTGAAAGACCCACGACCTGAAATATCAGCAGCTCAACATTGGCCCATCACCACTGTCACTCCCGACTCCTGAGGCACAAGGAAACATTCACGCACACGGTGAACACACGTGACAGCAGGAAGTCCGGACGTCCTCACACACAGGCTCAGTGAGAAGGACCAGAAACCCTGAGGCCCACATACTACCTGTGGGGCCGCAGGCGGGCTCCTGGCAGTGGTGACAACAGAAGTGACGTTCTAATGTGATAACGTACCTGACGCTGTTTCGCAAAGGTACAAAGCCATGAAGATAAAAGTAATTCTGATGAATTCTAAAACAAAATAGCTATTTAATAACTCCATTTTACTCAAATTGAGTAACCCATCATTTTAAAAAAGGGGTGTTAAGGACCAAGCCATAGGCTGGGATAAAAGGTACGTTTTCTTGAGACAACTGCCAAAACTTCTGGAGCCCAGCACAGTTCTAAGATTCACCACCTCCAAGGCGAGTGACCCTGTGCGCCGCAGACCCCCTGGGGTGCGACACGGGGATGGCCGCCACACTTACAGCGTTCCTCAGCACGTCGTCATCCACGTCAAAGTTGGACGTGTCGGAAGGACTGCTCACATCCGGGATGTAAGGGGCTTCCAGGTTTCGTATATTTTCCCAGTTCAGTCCTTGGAAAAACGCGTGCTTCTTGAAGTCCTCCACCCCGTTCTGTCCCAGCCGGCGCTCCCTGCTGCAGATCAGCCTCTGGATGAGGTCTTTCGCCTCCTCGGACACGTCTGTGACATGAGATGGGAACTGAAACCGCTCCTGGAGGGGGAGAGGGGCAAATCAGGGGACACGTGATGAAAACACTCAAAAAATCTAAGGGGCACAGACATCACTGGGAACAGAATAGAAACAACAGCTCCAAAGCAACAGTCACTTTTTATTTCATGGTAACTAAGTGCAACCAAAGCTAATGAAGCCGAATTCCAGAAAAGCAAACATAAAAATCATATGTCTTGCTAGTTTTCCTCATGGCAGACTTGTTACCACATTGCACGTAAATTAAAACAGTGATAAATTTTCACCTATCAAGGTGGCAAAGAATGCTGACAACAGGCTGTGGGTGGGAGAGAAACTGGCACAGCCTTTCAGAATGCATTTTGCCAACAGCTGTGGCAGTTCCACTTCTAAAAATTTAGTCTAGAGAAACGGTCCCAAAGAGAAAACATAACATGTTCATGATGCCATTCTATTCTGACCAAGAAAACTGAAAATTACCTAAATGCTCATCAAAAAGGGACTTGTTAAAACAAGATATGGTGCACACATACACAGAGAGTAAGGTCCACCTCCGCGTGCTGAGCAGAAAGATGACCAAAACCCCGGTCATATGCGATGTGATGCCATTTATTTAAATGCCAACCCCCCACGCCAGCTTAAGTCCACAAGGCCACACACCACCATGGCACAGTGGACCTGAGCACTGAGCCGCCCCTGCTGTCCAGGGCTGCAGTGGAGACTGAATAAAAGAATGAAGAGACCACTAGGCCAGGCCCCACAGGCGGCAGGCGCTCGGAAACAGCAGGTCTCACCGAGAAGTATATGGGGTGTTTTTCACCATCTATTTACTGCATGCACTTTTGCATGTCTGAAGTTTTTATAGTAAGTATATATTAATTTATAAATAAAAAATTATTTCTACTTTGGGGAAAGTGTTTTTTTAAAAAACAGTATAAACTGCTTTGATTTAAACAGAAGACCCTTTACCACTTTTGTGTTAATCTGCTCCCTGCTTGAGCAAATAAAGGGAGACAGGGCTGCAGGACAGATGGCAGACAAGTGGGAACCTTGCTGGGGTGTGTGAGTGACAGAGCAGGTGGGGAAAAAAAGAACGCTGTAAGCAAACAGGCAGAAAGGATGAAACTGGCATTAGAAAGGCATTTGATAAGGAGCACGAAGAAAAAACACAGATGACAAAAACATTAGATGGAAGAAGAAGTAATAAACAGAAAAATGAAGGAAATAAGAAAGCAATGTTGAAGTGAAAAGTGAACAGCTGGGAAAAGGAAAGGGGAAAAATAAGAGGAAAAGAAATCAGATCAAGGAAGGACTAAGAACACTACTATGTTGAGATGTGTGATCTGTTCATGACAACTGACTTCTGGGTAAACAGGTTTGAGAGTCCAAGCTGGCATATGATGGATCCAGACGCACAGGTCTAAGTGGTCAGTGGGCCACCCTCTCTGGCAATTCCCACCCCACACGGCACCGCGGGTACCTGTGTCTTCCTACCGAAGCCCGCTTCTCCTATAGCGATCCTGGCCTGATGAACCCGTCACCCTCCGCCAGGAAACAGGAGCATCCTTGGAACCCCCCTCCCACCCACGCCTTCTGTGTCAGCAGCCTGTGCGCGCTGCCGCCCTGCCGCCCGGCCTGCTCCACCCCGCCCCTCTTCCCCAGGGACGCCCCCTCAGGCTGCCTTCCCTGCCTCAGGGCCTGCGCCTCGGGACTAGAACAAACAGGGTGTGGAAACGCAACAGCTTACTTCATGGTTCATGATCTTTCCATAGGTCTCCACGAGGGATTCTGCATAAAACGGTGTTTCTCCATAAAGCATCTCGTACATGCAGACACCTAGAGACCACCAGTCGCACTCGGGGCCGTACTTGCCCATGCCGTCCTCCATTGCCTGCAGGATCTCTGGGGAGATGTAGTCAGGGGTGCCCACGGCCACAGAGGACTGCACCTTAGGGGAGAGGGCGGTTGGTGTTGAAGGGAAACCCTAGGGCATCTCTACTTTCAAATTCCTAATTATTTTCTCTAAAACAGGGACAGCAGATGATGAAATCATCATGGAATAAAACTGGCACCTGATCATGATTTAAAAACCTAAGAATTCAAAATTCAACGCAAATAAATGTTCCTACAGCACTAAACATCAGGCAGTGTGCAGAATGCACGAGACTCTTGCAGACCCCCGCCCCCCTTCTTACTGTGAGTTTTCAAGCAGCAGTAAAAGAACCTGTAAAACTGGCATCACTTGACAGTGTTTTCAAATGAGCGAAGCGATTTGAAAATGGGTCTTTCAACGCCCAAATGCCCACCAAGCCTCCACATGGCACCGAAGACCCACATTCTCCATTGCGGCTCAAAGTGTGGTCCAAGGACCATGTGCATCCAGCCCAGCCCTTCTCATGCAGGGACACCATATACCTGTGAGACAGAGATTCTAAGACGCTGCATTTCTAACATGTTCCCAGGGGAAGTCCAGGCTGCTCGCCACACCCTACCCTCTGGCCCCCAAACAGGAACGTCTGGAAGTAGGTCCAGGGACCAGCTGGGTGCCTGGACACTCCCTACATGGGGCACTGGGAATGGACCTGAACGCAGCGACACCTCTATGGAGAGCTACAACTGGTGAGGTGGCAACCATCCCAGAGAAGGCAAGGGGGCTGCGCAGGCTGAGAGGACACAGACCGGCCTCCGAGCATGTGGAGTGCACAGGCCTGAGGGTCAGGCAGGACATGGAGACAACAACCCAGAAGGCCCGTCTACACAGAGACCAGGCTCTCCCTGGGTGCCAGCCCCAGAGGCATCTGAATGACTCAGCGGGGAGTCCTCAGGAGCTCTGACCAGGCAGCAGGGCAACAGCCGTCGGGAGCTATCGCAGGGTGAGTGCCACCGGGACGGGAGTGCCATGCAGGTAAGAAGGGTGACCAACACTCTGGCTCAGACCAAGACCACTGCTCCCGTCGTTACAAGACTGGCTTCGGGGATAGCACCAATATATCAATCAATGCGTGGTCAAGACTTCCAGAAATAAGAGATTGGCTTTGTGAAAGTGAGTAAATCGCTTCGCTCATTTGAAAACACTGTCAAGTGATGCCAGTTTTACAGGTTCTTTTACTGCTGCTTGAAAACTCACAGTAAGAAGGGGGGCGGGGGTCTGCTCTCCTCTGGAGTAGTTTCATCAGGCCTCATGACATGTGTAGGTTCTAAAGAAGAAAAGTCTCCCAAACGCCTCACACTGAAACCGTGACAAGGGCCGCAAGGGAGAACGCAGACGATTCCCTAACGTACTGGAAGCCGCTGGCTGGAAGCAGCTGAGTGAGGTGCAGCAGCCCCACTTGAGGCCACTCAGCCAGCGTGCTGGTCCAGCTGAGGCCCAAGCCCAGCCTCCCGGCGACGGCCCCTCCAGGGAGGTCCTCCTGCTGTGCAGGGAGTGTCCGTTGGCCCTTGGAACAGGGGTATCAAGGCCCCCATTTCTACATCTGCAACACCCCTGACTGACAGGAAGTCCCGCCCCAGACAGAAACGAGAATGCACCATCACCCAGTTAAGGTCTGTCCACCTGGCAGGCATTTTAAGCAAGGGCTGCCTCTCTTTCACTGCCGTGCTGGCACGCTTTTAGCTGCCTAAGGATCTGAGGAAACCTGACAACCCCCCTTTTAGAAGGCATACGTATTATTTTTGTAAACATAAAAAACAAAGATGTTTTAAACTTAACAGAAAATTTCAACTGTCTCCTAAGTGCATTCGTCTTTAATAAACTTGGTTTCTTAATTGTATCTCAAATTGAAAATGTAAATAAGCCCCTTCTAATTGCAAGCAAACCCCAAAACCAAATGAAAAATCTCCAACAAAAATACCTACAGTTCCATCATCATTCATCTTCAAACACGATCCAAAGTCAGCCAGGCGGATATGACCATTCACATCCAAAAGGACATTGTCAGGTTTAATGTCTCTGTTAGTAAAATAAATACATAAATTAACCATTTCCATGCAACACATTAGGTAGGTCAAAGCCCTTAACTGGTAGTGGATCATCGGGGGAAACGCTAGCATCAGTCGTGACAGCTGTAACAATCAAAGAAAACATCCCCGTGATGATGCAGTCGGGCATGGCAGCCGCAGTCACCACCAGCGCTCATTCCTGCACAGCAGTTAATCCCCCATTAACACGCTGAGGCACCGTTACTGTTCCCACCCACCCACCCAGCCTGCAAACCAATGCTTCCAGAGCACCTGCCTCGTGCCAGGCGCTGCTCTTGAGCCGGGGCCTACGACAGTACCAAGACGGCGCTGCCCTGCCTTCACGAAGCCTCACACCAGCTGGGGTGTCAGAAAATGAACATGCAAATGCACAGATATGCACATGGTCTTGGCATCCCTGAGTACAATCCACGGGGCAAGTGCTACAAAGAAACAGGAGGAGATATAAAAATAGGTAGAGGGACAGAGTGTGAAGCGAGTCAAGGTGGCCGTTACCACTGAGAAGAGACGCCTGAGCAGCTGCGGCAAAACAGCTACAGACCAACAAAGCACCACGTACCCCAAAACTATATTTTATAGACAACGACAGGGAAGCTCCAGAGTGGAGTAGTCTGCCCAGTTATACAGCAGCAGGAAAGTAAACTGTCCCACTAAACCCGTGGTCTTACTGACTGTTCTTCTGTGCACTTGCCAACACCGGGCAGGGATGGGGGGACGGCAGGGTGGACTTTAAGGAACTAGCCCTCCTTCCTGGCAGAATAAGCTTATGCGACTGGAAAAGCCACCTAAGCACGAAAAGGAACATAAACTTTAAAAGCAGAGGAAGACATTCACCAAGAAGAGTACAAGGATGCTTCCAGCAGCACAACTTATAATAGCCACAAAGTGGGATCCACCTAACGTCCACCTGCAGGAGACAGGTAAAGCAGCGGGCTGTCCTCACGTGACAGAATGCTACATCTCAATGAAAACACACGGGAGCACCAACTACTCCCAACACCACAGACGAGTCTCACAAGGAAATGTGAGCAAAAGATGATGACAATTCTTACCCAAAAAGATAAACAAAGCAAAAAACCCTTCTAGCACTCCAAACTGAAATAAATCTCCCTAAATAAACACCCAGGAATACGAAAAACAAAACAATATAATCCCTCAGTGAATCAGAAAAATAAAAACTAAGAACAGGGGACTTCCCTGGTGGTTCAGTGGTTAAGACTCCACGCTTCCAATGCATGGGGCGTGGGTTCAATCCCTGGTCAGGGAACTAAGATCCCACATGCCCTGCAGTGTGGCAAAACAAAAAGCAAACAAAAAAAAAACTACAAACAGAAATAGACAAACATAGGGAGAAGTGAAAAGAGAGTTGATTTAACCCAGGAAAGAAACAGAAGAAAAAGACAAAATCTTAACAGAAATAAGGACTAAATTATAAGATGCCAAAGGGGAATCAATTAAAATAAAAATCTAATGAAAGGCATTGAAGAAATGGAGGAAAAGGTCTGGAAGAATAAAAAAGACAACGAATTTAAAAGGGTCAGAGAGAAAGTAGCTGGAGACTGAAATGGAAGACAAGCAAAGAAGGCACAACATATACATAACAGGAGTCCCTAAAGAATTCAAAACAATAAAACATAACTAACATTTGAAACTATACTCCAAGAGAACCTTCCAGAAGTAAAAAAGACCTGAATCTACAGACTAAAGGGCCCATCAAATTTAAAAATAAATAAATAAAATGTCCTGTTTTTTTGGAGCCAGACAAGCTGATATGGAATAACCAACATGGAAGAATAGCTAGAAAAACACTGAAGAGAAAGAGGTATGATGGGGGAACTTGGCCCTACGTGATTTCAAGCCTCCATGATTAAAGCAGTGTGGTCCCAGAGCACAGAGAGAAAGACGACAACGGAACAGAATAGAATGTCCAGAAACAGACCAAATTCATAAAGAAACTGAGGATATAATAAAGATGTTATCTCAAATCAGTGGGCAGACACAAATAAGTTTCATGCTGGGACAACTGAAGAGCCTTTTAGTTAAAGATAAAATCAGAACCATTCTTTTTTTTTTTTTTTTTTTTGTAGTACGCGGGCCTCTCACTGTCGTGGCCTCTCCTGTTGCGGAGCACAGGCTCCGGACGCGCAGGCTCAGCGGCCATGCCTCACGGGCCCAGCCGCTCCGCGGCATGTGGGATCTTCCCAGACCAGGGCACGAACCCACGTCCCCTGCATCGGCAGGCAGACTCTCAACCACTGCGCCACCAGGGAAGCCCAGATCCATTCTTTATATAAGAATAAACTCCAAATGGATCAGAGATCCATACGTTAAAAATAAAACTATTAGAAGAAAACATGGGTTTTTTCTCTGGGGTTTAAAAAAAAAAAATACTTCTAACTATGACTCAAAATCCCAATGTAATAAAAGACCAATAAATTTAATACATTAAAAAAATCTACATGGCAAAAGACTACAATAAGCAAAATCAAAAAGCAAATGACAAACTGGGAAAAAATATTTGCAACATATATTACAGATAAAGGGCAAATATTTAGCAACTGAAGGGAAAAAGCTAGAAATCAGAAAAATGGGCAAATGACATGAAATAAACAACTCACACAGAAAGATATAAAAATGAAATTCAACTCCACAAGAAAGACAAAAAACAAAAACAAAAAAACCAACTGTATACCATCTCTAATCCATCAGATGGCAAAAACAAAAATACACTATGCTGCCAAGGCTGCAAGGAACAGGCACTTTCATACACTGCTGGTAGGAACACAAAAAGGTATATCTCTACGGATGGAAACTGGCAACATCTGATAAAGCTAATAAAAAATGTTAGTATATATCTAATATGTATTTTATTTCTCTGTCGATCCAGTGATCCCACTTCTAGGAATTCACCCTGAAGACACACCGACAATACAAAAACATGTAGGTACAAGGTTATTCATTATTGCATTATTTATAATTGCAAAATACTAGAAACAACCTAAATATCCACCCACAAGAGAATTAACTATGGTACCGATATATGTGGCGTGCTATGCAAATGTAAAAAAGAATGAAGAGCTCCATGAGCTGATACAGAATGATTTCTAGGATATGTTAAGTGAAAAAAACAAAATGCGTTAAGTGCATATTTAACCATGCCACCTTCTGTTTAAGGAAAGGAGAAATAAGGAAACATATCTGCTCATCTTGCACACACACACACGATAAACAGAAAACAAGGAACTGGTTACTTAGAAGGGGCAGGGAATGAGGTGGATGCGATAAGGAAGGAAGTGACAGTTCTGAGTATAACCTTGTTATAGTTTTGGTATTATCGAAGCATGCTTGTGTTCTACATGCTTAAAAAATGAAACGAAATCAACAAAGATGGGAAGGGGCACCTGAAATGGAAAGCTGATGAAACCAGTGAACCCAACTGTATTTCAAACCAGTAACACAACAGCACTGAAGGGAAATGGGGTAGAAAAAAACCCCAAACCTAAGTAACTTACGGCAGAGAACCTGACACTTGCAGTTGGGAGGTGGGGTTAGGGCTAGGGTTAGGTTTGTTTTTAGTAGGATAAAAGCAGAGCGAGGGTCCCTGGTAGCTCAGGACTTCCCTGGTGGTGCAGTGGTTAAGAATCCGCCTGCCAATGCAGGGGACACGGGTTCGAGCCCTGGTCCAGGAAGATCCCACATGCCGCGGAGCAACTAAGCCCGTGTGCCACAACTACTGAGCCTGCGCTCTAGAGCCTGCGAGCCACAACTACTGAAGCCCGTGTGCCTAGAGCCCATGCTCTGCAACAAGAGAAGCCACTGAAATGAGAAGCCCGCACACCGCAACAAAAAGTAGCCCCCGCTCGCCGCAACTAGAGAAAAGCCTGCGCACAGCAACAAAGACCCAACGCAGCCAAAAATAAGTAAATAAATTTATAAATTATAGTAATAAAAAAAGCAGAGCGATTCTGAAGCTACTTCAGATACATGGCAGGGCTGGGCAAATGACTGGACGTGCTGGTGCTGCTGGGAGCCAGAGGAGGAGACGGAAATGGACCGGGAGAAAGCCAGAAGGGTAACTCGTGATTCCCAAATTAGACATGGGTCTGTATGTATAAATGCGGACGTGTACGGACATGCACTTTACTCTGTCCACTGAGGGGCCTAAAGCAGACACCCTGTAACTCTGAGCACACCCAGCACCCAGATATGGTCTTTAAAACCAACCCCAATAAAGGAATCAGGGTTCCTCAGAGAAGGTACAAGATGAGCCAGAAACTAAGGCAGTTCTCAGAAACGATGAGGGCATGTCAGAAACATGGGAGTCAGCTAGAAGGGGCTTCCACTGGCCAAATATAGGACAATATAAGCATAAAAAGAATTCAGACAATAACAAATTATAAACCGTTGGGGTGACAAAGGATCCAGGTACCCACACGGATGATAAATAGACAAATGGGAGAGAAGGGAGGTGCTTCAACGTGGAGTGGATCCTGGAGTTTGGAAATCGTCATTTTGCAACCATCACAGTAAAGGCTGGCCCGGGCAAAAATCATCAACAGATACTAAATGTAGGGGGAAACTCTGAAGAGGATGTATGCATGATCTTAAAGTGTCTCCCCACAGATTGCTTTTAGATGCAAAGGGGGAAAAGTCCTAACTATGCAGCAGTGAATCACTACCTGAGTCTAAGAAGACGGGTGGGGAGGGTCTTCACAAAGGCTGCCCCTCTCCCTTTATACCCTCCAGACGTGTTCAGCTGCTAACCATCTGCGTGCACCTTTTTTTTTCAATGGTGTTGGATTATCTGGGCAGCATGATTCTCTATTTAAAATATAATATCATCAATAAACGTTATTTTAAAAAAAACTAAATTGCCCATTTGCATGCAGGGAGGGTGCAAAGAAAGGCCCTCTCAGAAAACACCAGGGAGGCCGAGGGCAAGGACTAACCCAGAGCTCCTACCAGCAGTGCTTCTGAGCTGGGCAGGTGGTCCCCACAGCACCAACTGAGAGAGCAGCCAATCCATGAGCTGACCGTCCCCATGGGCCACCACCCTGCTTGGGACTAACCCAGCCCATTCTCCCTCCAAACCCGGCGGTGGCCACTTTTCCAGTAGAGTCAGGCGCACAGCTGAGAAGCAGCTCCAGTTCCCCGAAAGTGCCTTTTCTCTGTCGGCTGTTGTGACTCTGGTTGAAACGGTGGAATTGGCCGGGGCGGGGCCGGGTGGGTGGGATTACAGCCCTGGACAGACTGCAGTCTGATTTTCCTTTCCTGTTCTGCCCGTGATGCGCTGAGAAGGGAGGCCCTCCGACCCACTGCTGTCCCATTTCTGAGCGACACACAGTGCGCCCGTGGGGCTTCCTACTGCAAAACCAACCCACAGGCTCGGTGGAGGTGGCACGGGGCTGGTCCCCGTGCCTCCACGGACGGGCCTCCGCGCCAGCCCGGCTCCTGGAGGCCCCGGGCCGCCTCTGTCTTCGTCCAGGTCCTCTACTCCTGCTCCACACCTCTTCTACTCGGCTTTCTAGTTTTCCTTTTCTAAGGCCTTTCTTGTTCTCTGAATATTCCTTCTCTTAAAAGTGTACCTGTTCTTATTTCGATCGTAAGCTGTACGTATTCTGTTCTCTCTGGGGTTGTGATTTCCCAGCTGCAATCCTTCGTGAGCCTGTCGCTCTCGGTCTCTGCCTCTGCTGGCATCTGGGGCTGACCTCTCAGGAAGCGGCAGCACCCACCCGGGGGGTGGGCTCCCAGGTCCGAGCTCCCCATTGCTTCTGGCACAGTGAGCCTCGCAGGGGTCCAGAGCCGGGGAGCAGCCATTCCGCACGCAGAAGCCCGGCCGGCGGGGCGGCGGGCGCTGCCTGAAGTCGCCAAGGGCCACATCCTCCCACGGGAAAGGGCCCCAAGCTACGGTCTGAACCACGCTCCTCAAATCCACCAGTGAGAACACTCTTGTGCTGATGAAACTCATTTACTTCTGGTCCCGCCAAATGCAGCCTCAACTTACATCCCCCTAAGACTGGGTAGGACTGACTTCCTGTATTACCTAACTTTGTGAACTTTCTAGCAAAAACGCAAAGCTTACTGTTTTCACTAGGTCACTCAAGCACTTAGTCTGAATATGGAGTTGACTTTGAGGGAAAAAAAGTTTTCGAATTATTTTAATGTTTCCTACCATATGCCCAGAAATTAAAAGATAGAGCAAAACTTCTACACAACCAATTAAGAAAATAAGGAGAAAGCTTCCTAATTAGGGAAAAACAGGAAAGAAAAAGCTATTCAAAAGGCAGTCAAATTAATTTCCCTGGAGCTCTGTGACAAATACAAAGACATTCATCTCTGTTGTGAATTAGGCAAAGTTCTCTCAAGAAGAGTATAAAATCTAATGTTGAAAACAACAACAACTGTTATAAAAGCAGGCATAACGACATTAAAGAAAACAGGAGAAAGAGGAAATGCCCTGTCCCAAACCTCATGGCCCTAAAAGCAGCAACCGCTATGGGGGGCAGCTCCCTGGGCTCGCCCATGACACGGGGACCTATGCACAGCGCCCTGGGCAGGAGCGTGTGGTCCCAGGCAAGCTGCCCCCCCACCCAGGGCAATGAGGTCACACTCTTGGCAGGACTTGAAGGGCTGTTACTTTGACACTGGGAGCCATTGCTACCCTCAGAGCAGGAGCTGCATCTGCTTAGGAAAATCCCTGACAGGCTCAGAGGCTCAGCCCGACCACAGTGCAAGGTCAGGGGACTCATGACAGCTGCAAACCTCTCGACGGCAACACTGAATTCCACACGGGATCATCTATCAGTCACGTATGTGAATGGAATTAAGATGCTCCTCTCAGAAAAATTATTTCACACACCTCCTTTTCCAGAAAGTGCTGGAGGATATGTGCCACCAAATCAAAAGAATAAACCAAGAAAGAGAAAGATACACGACTCAGAAAACAAGGGAGCCCATCCCAGGGAGACGGGAAGAGAACCTCTCCACTCAAAAAGAAACCTCACGATGAGAGCCACCAGAGCAGGAAGGCGTTGGGAAAGACAGAAGGGATGGATCCAGGAAGGTAGACCGAGGATTGCTGGTGTGTTTGAATGTACAGAGCTTTATAATTTGGTCGCGATATTTGGGGATAGTTAGTGGCAGCTACACAGAGAAGTAGCCAAAGAAAAAACAGTGCAATTATTAACTCCAGAGGAAACAAAACTTTATATAGGAGGTGTAACTATTTATACCACAAGGCTCATCTGTAATATTTACACAGTATATTATAAACACCAAACACTGATCTAACCAAAAGTTATTACATTTGACCCCTGAACAACACCAGGGCTGGGGTGCCAACCGCTGCGCAGTCGAAAATCTGAGTATAACTTCACAGTCGGCCCTCCATACCCGTGGGTCTACACCCACAGACCGTGTAGGACTGTATTATGTATTTAGTGAAAGAAATCTGAGTATAAGCGGACCCGTGTAGTTCAAACCCATGTTGTTCAAGGGCTAACTGTATTTTACTAACTGGGACCAGATGGGAGAGGGAAGTTTGAGAGTTTGTGTGGGAGACAGGGATGAGAGAGAGATGTACTTACTTGTGTCAAAGAGTCAAATCTCCATTTCGATAGACATGGTCTAAGACTTCCCCACCCACCACACAAAGTGAAACAGCAACAGAAGCCCGTTATTTAGAAATATGAAAGTAAACAGAAGAAACAAGTAAAAATTGTCCATCATTACCTATGGCAAGGGGCATCAGGGTGGGGGATGGCTGGAGACTCACGTTTTGTTATAAGCCCTGTACAACTATTTGAGTTTTTAAAGCTACTGCCGTGAAATATTTTGATAAAAATAAGTAAAACAGAACAAAACCAACAAAACCCCACCCAAACCCCACAGGATTAAAGCACTGTCTTAAATGGCAGAATGAGACTGACACAGAGGCACAGGCTGGCTGAGGCACTAAGGCGGCTGTCCTGGCAGGGGAGGGGGGAGGGCAGGAGGGGGCCCCCCACCCCCACCTGACGTGCAAGAGCAGTTACACTCACTCAACTCAAGTCCTTTATGATGCTGTGATGTGAGCCCCTCTCCTCAACCCAAGCCCCCTTTCCTGAGCGTTTTATGGGTGATTGAGGCATGAGCTCTGGGGGGTGGGCAGGGGAGAACATGAGCCAGTGGCAGGTAAATATCAAAAGACAAGGTGACTTCAGCTGACAGCAATTAGAGCGTCACAACAGTCACATAAAGCTGGGGTCTCCCTGGGAGCCAGGTGCTGGGGTATAAAGCAGCGACCTGGTAAGGCATCCTGCACCATGGCAGTCAAAGGGAGGACCCACTAACTGCACAACTTCCCTGCACAGCCTGGAACTGGGGTCCACAACTCAGGGGACTCTGAAAGGAATATCCTGACACATTAAAGGTGATTTCCATACAATATATAACAAGGTGATTACCTGTGCACGTAATGAAGCTGATGGATGGAATCAATAGCCAACACCATTTCACCAATGTAGAATCTTGCCATATCTTCTGGAAGCTTGTCCTCAAATTTACTGAGCAGGGTCAGTAAATCACCACCCACGTAATAATCCATGACTAAGTACTACAATTGGGAAGAGAAGGGCAGAGAAGACGACATTCAGTCACCACGAAACCTACCAACCAAAGGTCAGCTTCCACTGCAGGAGCTCTGGACTCCTCAAGTCCGGGTGGACGGCTTCCTGCTGTTCCTGTCATCCAGGACTTCCCCCCAGAACAAGGACCCTGATGGACCATAATGCTGCTGTAGTTGAGAACAGATTTCAGTAAATACTTATTTTTCTTGTCAATAAAATTTCTACCTGTACAACACAATCAGATGGTATCAATATAGAAGTCACATTCTATTTATAAACTGATGAAAGGACCACTGGTTTCTCTTTTTTTTTTTTTTGGATTTTATTTATTTTTATACAGCAGGTTCTTATTCATTATCTACTTTATATATATTAGTGTATGTATGTCAATCCCAACCTCCCACTTCATCCCACCACCCACGCCCCCACTCTCCCCCCTTGGTGTCCATAGAAGGGGACACCTGTGTCTCTATTTCTGCCTTGCAAACCGGTTCATCTGTACCATTTTTCTAGATTCCACATGTATGTGTTAATATATTTGTTTTTCTCTTTCTGACTTACTTCACTCTGTATGACAGTCTCTAGGTCCATCCATGTCTCTACAAATGACCAATTTTCGTTCCTTTTTATGGCTAAATAATATACAAGATATTGTTTTGTTTTGTTTTTTTTTTGCCACATCGGGCGGCATACAGGATCTTAGCTCCCCAACCAGGGATTGAACCTGCACCCTCTGCAATAGAGGCGCAGAGTCTTAACCACTGGGCCACCAGGGAAGCCCCTGAAAGGACTGCTGATTTCTTGATATCATTAAATCTTCCTATGTAAACTAGCAGTGTTATTATTTTTGATTTGTACAAATCATTTTTTCATATTCTTCAGAAATATTTTACCCCAATCCCCTTCATTTTTATTGAATGAAAGACTCTTTAAATTCTATAGTGCTTTACAATTTTCAAGTTTCACACACATGTTCTCATATAATCCCATAGAAACCCCCTTTTCAATTCCCTACCCCTATACTGCCCCTCTCCCTTCCCTCTCCCCAATGATAACCATTAGTTTGTTCTATATATCTGTGTCTGCTTCTTTTTTGTTATATTTACTAGTTTGTTGTATTTTTCAGATTCCACATATAAGTGATATCATACAATATTTGTCTTTCTCTGACTTATTTCACTTAGCATAATACCCTCCCACCCACCCATGTTGCTACAAATGGCAAAATTTCATTCTTTTTTATGGCTGAGTAGTATTCCATTACATATATGTTATATACATATATACATCTTCTTTATCCATTCATCTGTTGACGGATGCCTAGGATGGCAACTGCAAAAAAAAAAAAAAAAAGCTGCTATGAACATTGGGGTGCATATATCTTTTCAAATTAGTGTTTTTGGTGGGTTTTTTTCTTTTTGGATATATACCCAGGAGTGGAATTGCTGGGTCATATAGTAATTCTATTTTTAGTTTTTTGAGAAAATGCCATACTGTTCTCCATAGTGGCTGCACCAATTTACATTCTCACCACCAGTGTAGGAGGGATCCCTTTTCTCCACAACCTTGCCAACGTTTCGTTATTTGTGTTCTTTTGGATGACAGCCATTCTGACAGGTGTGAGGTGATATCTCACTGCGGTTTTGATTTGCATTTCCCTGATGATTAGCGATGGTGTGCATCTTTTCATGTTCCTGTTGGCCATCTGCATTTCCTCTTCAGAAAAATGTCTAATCAGTTCTTCTGCCCTTTTTTTTTAAAAACTTATTTATTTTGGCTGTGTTGGGTCTTCATTGCTGCATGTGGGCTTTCTTAGTTGCGGTGCGCGGGCTTCTCACTGCAGTGGCTTCTCTTGCTGCAGAGCACGGGCTCTAGGCGTGCGGGCTTCAGTATTTGCAGCACAGGGGCTCAGTAGTTGTGGCACGTGGGCTCTAGAGCACAGGCTCAGCAGTTGTGGCGCACGGGCTTAGTTGCTCCGCAGCATGTGGGATCTTCCCGGACCAGAAATCAAACCCGTGTCCCCTGCACTGGCAGGTGGATTCCTAACCACTGCGCCACCAGGGAAGTCCCTTCCGCCCATTTTTTAATCAGGTTAAAGAAGAATAAACAAAATAATAATATTTTCAAAATGTCTGAAGAAAAAAACAGAATGAAGTCCCATAACATATATTATAAAGAAATGAAAATTAAAATAGTTTTGTGTTGACTCACGCATATAGTGAGAGACTAATGAAATACAAAATTCAAATGGAAAATAAACGTATATGGAAATTTCACCTACAGTAAAGGCAGTAGAGCAAAGAGCAGATGCAGATTCACGGTGTCTCACTGAAGACCCCAGCCCACGAATAGGCAGCTGAGCCTCTGTCTCCCCAAGTGTCTGCTCCCCGAAGGGCTGGTGTTTCTACATATGCAGGGAGGATATTCAATGTTTGAGAAAGGGCATCTTGGGCTATGGTCTGACGGGTATCTCTGCTGGCTCAGCACATACTATATAACCTGTTCTCAGGGCCCGTGCTGCATTCCCCGGTGAGCTGAGCTGTCACTGCCATCAGTAAAGCTGTGTCACCTGCACCTGACCCGCTTTCTCTGCCCAGGAACCTCGGGAATGGCCACACCTCATTTGAGTGATTCCAGCAGTTGATGACCTGCCTGATTCCAACTCTGGGGGGGGACTTGACTCCCCCAGGGCCATGGGTGGTTAAGAGTCTGCGATCGGTCCACAGAGGGACCAAGCGTGTGGGGACGTGGGGGCAGGACATCCCAACACTTGGATACTCTTTGTCTAGACCACAAACTGGCACAGGCAGAAGATGCCAACTTCTCAAAAAAAAAAAAAAATGTGGAAATAACAAACATCCTTGATTATGAAAAAGAGATGATCTCCTTCTGAAGATATGCTAGAATGGAAACTTCCTGGACAGGAACTTTTTCTTTTTCTTTGTGAGAAATCCTCCCCCTCCAAAATTGGAAGGACTTTATAAATCATGTCAAGAGGCACACAGGAACCAGCATACGCAGAAGACGCCAACTCCTTTAGGAAAAAAAATATGTGGAGATGACAAACATCCTTGACTATGACAGACCATCTTCTTCAGAGCAAATGCTAAGATAATAACTGCCTAGATGGGGAAAATACATATATACACGTACATATATTTAATCAGTGGAAAAAATGACTGAAGGGTTCAACACTCCAGGAGGTGCTCTAAAAGCTAATGGCCCAAAGTGGAAGCACCAATAATACTCCATCAAGTTTTATGCGGTTTAAAACTATTTCCCCAGGTTCTCCTGCCACACGAAGAGGACACAGGACCAGAGAAGGGAGGTGAGTTACCTAAAATCACAAAACCAGCGGCTCTTATTAGAAAAACAGTTTCATGAACAAACTGAAAGGTAAGTTCCTATGGGTGCATCCCCACGAAGAGTCAGAGAATGCACTGCTGGAATAGAAACCAGAGCCCCAAGAGGGCAAAGGCCGAGGCGTTGGCTGTGCTCCACCAACAGCACTGGGCTGTCCCTTCGCTCAGCGCTCACGGGCCCGGGGCCAGCAGTGCTGGGCAGCCTTCCACTGGAAGACAGTCTTCTGCTGGAAGACAGCCCCTCTGGCTGCACCCTGAAGGCTACGGTGGAAGAGCCCCAGGGGCTGTGGAGACCCGATGGGGTCATCCCACCAGTCAGACAGAGACTGGCATAGCCAGAGTCAGGGCGGCAGCCAGCACTCCTACTGCTGGGGCTGCCGAGCAGAGACCGCAGGAGAAGTTGTTCCTCCCAGGAACCGCCCCCTTTGATGCTTTTAAGAGATGGGTGCTCTGGTCTGAGCAGTTAACTTTTAACCAATGAACAGAGAGAGGAAATCCCACTCCCCGATGACTCAGCCGGAGAGACAATCCTTTAGTATTATGGAGACCCTAGTACTAAGAGCTACCGTTCGTGGTGTAACTATGATGTGCTGTGCCTTCAGGTTCTACGACTTACGGCCACCATCACTGTTAATCCTCAAGACAGCCCTGGCCACAGCTACCATCACTGTTCATCCTCAAAACAGCCCTGGCCACAGCTACTGTCATGACCGCGGTTTACAGGTAAGGAAAGGAGGCTTGATGACGCGGCCTAAGTCACCCAGCTAGCAAGTGGCAGAGCTAGGATGTGATCCCAGGCAACTGGACTCCAGGCCCTTGGTCTTAAATAAGGCATAGCGTCTCCTGGGAGAGGGCAGCCATCAGCCTGTGGCCGGGCCTGTCTAAGGAGGAAAGCCTTCCCTGCAGATCCCTGTTCTCAACAGCCCTCCCATTCTGCCTCAGAACTCAGCTTTCAAGACTCACCTCACTCGACCCCTCCGCTGAGAAACCTTCCTGATCTCCCTGTCCCCTCCTGCCCAACGGCAGCCACAGCCGGGCCTCCCACCCTGGCCTCCTGGCACTGTCGCCCATCCCTTCCACCCAAGAGTGGCTTCTACGGGCAGGAGTCCTGTTGCTCCCACACCTGGCACAACTCCGGTCACACAGACGACTCTCAAAGGACGTCTGCTCATTCACTCTCTCAATAACAAACTTGTCGGCACCCGCTAGGTGACAGGTCCCTCCTCCATGGGGCTGACATCACGTGGGGGGAGGTGAACACAGGAATTCAGAGTGACGGAACCAGGAAGAAAACCCAACTGTAGGTGTGGGAGGGCCCGACTGGCGGCTCCCGCACACGGACACCGCGAGGACCCAGGCCCGGGGGTCTGAAGGGCAGGAGGAAGCCGGCTGGGCCAGGGTCACCTTCCAGACAAAGGGACCGAGAGGAGCAGGAACGTGGGCCCTGGAGACACGGGAACCGGTGACTGGGGCAGAGCGCGGCGAGTGCGGATGGGCTGAGGCCAGGCCCCGCGGGCCACTGCGGGGACGTCGGGCTCCACTCTGAGAACCACGAGAAGCAGCACCCTGCTCCACGATTATAGCTTCCTCTGGCTGCCCTGTGCAGGGCAGACTCGAAGGGGAGGGACGAGAGCAGGACCAGAGAGGGGCCCGGCAGGAGGCGAGGGTGACAGCGCTGGGGAGGGTGGGCAGAACGACAGCTGGGCAGAGCGCAGGTAATCCGGGGGAGCAGACCACAGCACCTGCGGACGGACACGCGGGTGAAGGAGAGTCGGGTGCCCCTAAAGAAAACAGTGGGAGTGAGGCAAGCGCCGCATCTAGCGGAGCTCAACGGTTTCCCTGTCCACCTAGAAATCTGAAAAGAAAAACAAAAGTGTATCACAGCGGTGCCAAATACGATTGATGGGCTCCTGGAAAACAAGTTTACAAGAAGAGTAACCTGCAAAGGCTGATAAGGCAGGCAAGTAGAAACGTATTTTTGGAATAAGAGAACGCTACCAATTATGTCCCCTGTCACATAACGCAGAATCCTGACTTGAGTCAATAAGGCAACACCCTTTTAGTTACTGGTGAAACAAGTTTAATTTTTACGAAACGCCCAGTCTAGATACCCACGGTAGCAACTCTAACACAAGCGGGCTCTGTGGGGCGGGCTCCGTGTCACGAAAGACCCCTCACCCCGCTGCACCCTGCGCCCCAGCGGCACTCAGGCCGCCCACTTCCCGCCTCATTCCTCCTCACCTCCTCCCCGCAGGCCAGTGACTGCCCCTAAAAACGCCACTCGTGGGTGGCAGAGGCAGGAGCCAAACCTGGTCTTGCAGACCCGTGTTCACGAACTAGGAAGGGCCAGGGCTCCTGTCATCCTTCTCTCCGCAGTCTTCACCGTACGTCTGATTGGGGAGCTCCCTAACTCAAGGAGATGCTCCATCACCGGGATTCCTTACCGGCTGTCCTAACTCAGAATAAGCTGGCAACACGCTACGCTGACTGCAGGGAAACTATCTGAAACGAAAAAAGTTGTCTTCCTTCTGTGCAGTCCCAGACTAGCATTCCTTAGAGACTTCATTCAGTTCTTATCAAAATAGGAAGTGAACTGGAGACAGTCCACTCAACGCAGGGACACTGGTCCCGGAAGCAACGGGTTATGGAGAGATGGCCCCGGGGCAGGAGGACTCTGCTCTCAGCCAGAGGGAGGGCACCGCGCACCACCTCCTGCCAGAGGGGCCCGGGCTGGGCCTGGCACAATCCCTGTATCTGTGTGATAAGCTTGGACAAATGACTTCCTCCCTCCTTGGCCCAGACCCCATTCATAAAATGGTGAAAACTCATGAATGCCTAACTCACTTGGCCACTGGGAAGACTGACCGCGATAACCCATAGGCTGTGCTCAATAAACCCCAGCTGCCCCTTCCATCAAAACACGTATTTTTTTAATCTAAGTAAAGAATATAACAAACTATTTTACCTAATCCTAGACTACTGTATCTAAGGGATTTCTCTGATGTCTGTAAGAGATTATTTTAATATAAATAAGAGAAATCCTCCATGACTCCACTTGTTGTAAGCAAATGGAGCCCACTACTGAGAGTGAACTTACAAGTCAGCTGTTCTCGAGAACACAGCCGAGGCCCCTGCCTTCGAAGCCCCGTGCGGCCACTGCTGGGGAAACATGCCAGCTGTGCCCCGGCCAGAGGAGCTGGGCTGAGACCGGCTTCCCTGAGGTCTGCCCAGGCCCCGTCTACCCAGAGCTCCACGGTGCGGACAGTCTTAGGTTTAGGCAAACCTGGAAAGTCATTCTCAGAGTTAGAAGTCCTAACAAAGCAGTCGTGAGTCACTCGGCCTGAGCCAAAAGTCTGGTTTCCCTTTCACTCACAACTGGTTGTCTCGCATCTGTTCTACTAGGCGTCCGAGAGCAATTCTACCCACACATGTGAATCACAAAGCTCATTAGCCTACACTGCAAGTGAGCCCCAGCTCCAGTCAGAACAGGTGACAAGAACAAGGGGACCAAGAGTCACCCCAAAACCTGTGTCAGCGGCTCCAGCGGGGAGGGCTGCAAACCAGCACGTGCCACCCGACCCGGCCGTCAGGGAAACGTGGCAGAAACACCCACTCGGTTAAAGGGTCAAACATTTTAAATCCCCACAGCAATTTCTTATTCTTTTTCGTAATTCAAGATAGAAAATGTTTTAAACCCCCAGTTTATAATAATCCAAGTGAATAAAATAAGCACCTTATCTAGTGATTAGAGGAAAAAGTCCACCTGATGATTACATGAAAACAAACCCTCAGTTCTATCTGTCAAATATACATTTAGGCAACAACAGTTCCAAAGTGTCTCACTCATTTTTTAGTGGCAGCACAAAGGAATCGAAACACTTCAGTGAGATGCCATTTGATAGAGTCCTTAAGTTCTTGGTGACCCACACCTACCAGGTAATTTTCATCCTGAAAGGCATAGTGCAGTGTGGTGATCCACTGACAGTCCCCATTCACCAGCACATCGCGTTCTTCCCGGAAACAGGCCGTCTGTAAAGAATTGGGGAGAAAGTCGGTCTGTGTCCATCGGGAAAGTACCCTGCAGAGCACAGTCCCAAGCAGATAGAGGCTCTGGAGACAGTGTCCCCTGTCTTCTGGGACGCAGGGACCCAGGCGCACCACTGCCTCCCAGTGGGGCTCCTGGCACCAGCTGAACCTCAGCTCTCTCCTGCTCCTGCAGCCCGACCCTCACCCCGGTGCACCAAGGGCCGCTGAGAACTCACCTCCCCACCTGGGGCTCGCACCCACCCTCCCACACACGCCGCTTCCAGGACCAGCATGCCAGGTTCACCCCAGCTCACACGTGCATTTCAGCTACAGCTTCTGAGCTGCCCCCCATTCCAGTGTCGCCGACTTCTCGGGGTAGCCTGTGGTGTGGCTGCCCCTCATGTCCCGTCCCCTCCAACCCACCCCCATTGCAGGACTACAGTTCAGAAGCCACACGGCTGGCCGGACAGGGCACAAACCTGCTTACTGATCTGAGTTACAGATCTGGGTCAGTTATTTTCAAGAAATGTGATTTATTTACAGTATACTGATGCACACGATCCTAACAGGATTCTACTATGAAGATCCATGGCCTGTAGCACACGGGCAAAAGGCCGTCTTTTAGGCTGCTGTGGGTTTTTTTTTTTTTTTAAGAGCTTTAATACACAGGTAGAATCTGTATTTAAAAGGAACTAGGTCTTTGGCATAATTATAATAACACGTCCTCTTTCGTGACCACAGAAGATTTTAACTCCTCCTTGTATTTCCAACTTGCAAAGCTTAAGAAAGGTAACAGCACCCCTAGAGGAGGGTTTGCGCACACAGCACCGCAGCAAGCTCTCCACCTGTTCTCTCAGGGAGTGAGATATGTATATGTTGACATCAAAGAATGTTGGATAAAAATAATATAGTTTTTGAGTGAAAAATATATGTGGCAAAAGTATGCTCAAGAGATCCCATAATACTATACATGCATAGAAAATAAATTAAAAGAATTTTAACACCAAACTATTAACAGTAGTTATATCTGGCAGTGGGCTGTCACTTTTTATTTATGTCTTTTACATTGTTTCAATTGTTTTTTTGGGTTTTTTTGCGGTACGCGGGCCTCTCACTGTCGTGCCTCTCCCATTGCGGAGCACAGGCTCCGGACGCGCAGGCTCAGCGACCATGGCTCACGGGCCCAGCCGATCTGCGGCATGTGGGCTCTTCCCGGACCGGGGCACGAACCAGTGTCCCCTGCATCAGCAGGCGGACACTCGACCACTGCGCCACCAGGGAAGCCCTCTTTTCTAAACTTTTAAAAAGAGTTTTTTTCTTTTGAAAACGGGATTGAGGTAGATGTGTCCCGTTCTCCTAACTGAAGCAGACGAGAGAACTTAACAACATCCAGATATGCAGAGACAGTGGTTCTGAAACTACCATGGCCCCCAGACCACAGGCCTGGGGAAGGGGCAGCAGAAAGAAAACCTGAGTCCTGGGGCCGGGGCCAGCCCAGAAGCCCCAGTGTCTGGAACACTGTTTCCACCAGATTCTGATCCACATCCTCAAGTGCCTACCTAACAACATTCAGCATAAAGCCCGTTCTTAAACCGGGATTGCCAGTATGGTTCCCACAGAGAGGAAATATACATACTGTTCAGTAGTTTTAAGAGCAGATAAACTTTCTAATGTTTTTTTTTTATGACCAAAAAAATAAAGAACTAAAAGCCCAGCATGGTCTACAAGTTATGAACTTTGCTCTGGAGCTCAGAAAGGACAAAGCCAGGAGGCTGATGGCAACGTGCCCTTGGAAAGGAAGGACCCTTGGCTCCGAGGTGAATGTGAAATGGAGGAACATACAGGGCGGGCGGTACAGACACTGGGAGGCAGTGGAGGTGAGTCTGGCAAGGACCAGAGGGAGAACCTGTGTCTCAGTGGGGACTGGGCGTGGGGCTGGGGAGAGCGGGGCTGGAGGCACGAAACAGCCGCCACAGGGATGGACGAAGAAGAAAGCAAAAGCGGGTCAGAGGCTGCCATGCAGCAGCCATCTACTTTTATTTATAATCTTCACTCCCCTCGAGGAGAGAATACAAAACATTTCCAAATTCAGTAATTCCTTCTGCAGAGGGAGCAGAATTGAGATAAATGCCTGAAGGGTTTTGTTTTGTTTTTTGGGTTTTTTTGGCCATGCCACAGGCATGCAGGATTCTAGTTCTCCGACCAGGGATCGAACCCAGGCCCCTTGCAGTAGAAGTGTGGAGCCTTAACCACTGGACCGCCAGGGAAGTCCCTCCATGGAGGTTTTTAACTGCCCCTGCAGACACAGCTGAGGGGGAGCTTGTGAGCAGGACACCTGGTAATGAGTCAACACCAAGGCAGACGGCACTGGGAGGGGGCTGAGGTCCTGTTGACAAAGAGCGGCCTGCTCTTGTCAAGGAAGGAAGGCCCAGATGTGGTCTTACCCAGCTGGGCTTCATCACCCCTTTCCGTGTATATAAACCCGTTTACTTATTTATTTAATGCTCCACACTTACCTCTGCTCTTTTAAGCATCTCCCACTTGTTGAGGATTTTCATGGCATATATGCGTTCAGTGTTCTTCATTTTGACAACAGCAACCTGCCACACAAATGGGAGTTTAACAAAAATTTAGTTAACGGAACACAAAAGGTCAGCACATTTCATATAACTACAGGGAAATCTTAATTGCCTGGAAACCCTGGAAAATGACCTGTTAAGGAAAGTAAAGTTTTCTATGTGAATAAAGGATTTGCTCTTTTAAGCAACAAAACTTGATTTTAACTACACTGCAGCTTGAATGATCTCACCTGCTCAGTCCGAAATGCCTCAGTGCTGAGCACCGGTGCACATGGGGGTCTGCTGGCCTCTACTTTGGGGTGTCTGGGGATTTTCACGGTACTGGCTTTTGAAGTTCGTCAGTGGCTCCCAAGCTCCCCTCCTGCATTCAACGGCTCCATGCCCGCTCACGCCTACCCGCCTCCACCGATGCCTGTGTCCACCTCTCATGCCCACAGCCAGCCTTTGCACGTACCCGGGCTTAACTCCGGGATCTTTTCTTCACTGTGTTGGTGAGTATCTAGGGAGGCTCTGGAGTGTAACTTGGGCAAATTCACTTCTTTGTGCCTCAGTTTCTACAACTAGAATGGATAACAGCAGGACTGCCCTAAGATTGCTGTGCGGATCAAATGAGTCAACACGGTTAACGTGCTCAGAATGGTCAGGCACATAGTTATTAGCCCTTAGTGTGCTGGCTGTCAGCCATATTCTTCAAGGTACAACTCAAATGCCACCTCTTCCAGGAAGTCCTCTTGGGACTCCTGGTCTTCATCAAATTTCAAATGAACGCTTCCATTACTACCAACACCAGATGTGATGTCTGCACCATCATATGGTACATCCTACCCTATATAAATCAGTCATTCGTTGACCTAAGTCCCCTTCACAAAACCATAAGCAGTGATAATAACTTCTGAGCCTTTCTGCTGCCAATGGCAGGCAGCCACACAGCAGGGTTGGAACAAAGAGTTCTAAGAGTGAATGACTTACTTCCTTACTTTCTGAACACCACCACCACACAACAACATCGTTGAAGTGACCATGAGAGCTGACACTCACGGATCACTTCCCATGCCCGGAGCTGTGCCAAGCAATGGACCTGCACCCTCTCAGCTAATCGTCTCCAGAGCCCTAGATGGTGGCTATTTCTAATATCCTTACTTTACAGATGTGAAATCTGAGGCCCAGAGGGGTTAAACAACATGCCTAAGAAGCGGCAGAGGCTCATCCTCAGGCGCGTGCCTTTTAGGACTGTATTATACTGACCGTCATAATTAGATATAACCCTCCCGGAGCCTGATGACGGCAGGCAGGGCTGGGAGTCCACCACGAATGTGCCCTGATGTGGCCCCAGAGCCTGCAGATGGTCAGAGGCACCTACCCTCCTCTGCAGGGCTCCCAGCCAGGGCCCCCTGCCCACAAGTACACGGAGATCACCCTCCAGCCATCGCCCTCAATCACCCCTCTCACTGCCACTCCATGGCACGCCACACCTAAGCTGCTGTCTATTCGCTACGGTCTTAGAAACCACTGAACAAACTCGCTACGACTCTGATTAAATTAAAAATAAATGGTGCGTAAATAAAGGCTTTGTGGGCTCTCCGACATGTCTAAGAACAAGAATTCTGGGCACACACTCTGTCATCATGTTACAAGTGTCTATTTCTTCCTGGGAATTAGCTATAATCTAGATAGGTGAGATATCAGAGTTAAAAAGAAAAAAGCCACATAGTAGTTACTACACAAAAGGTCTAACTTGGCGAGAATAGTAGAGTTGTTAACCTTTGAGGAAAATAATGAAATTCTGAAAATGACGAGCCTCATGAATGATCCAGATCTTGCTGGAAATGAGACGCAGAACACAGGAAACTTGATTTCTTTACAAGAGGCCTATTAGGCACAGACCATTTCCAGAAAACACGCAAGATGGCTCTGATAAAATACGTAGAAGGAAAAAGAATGTATCTGTCCATGGAAAACATGTATCAAACCAAGAATATGTAGACAAGGACCTCCCTGGTGGCGCAGTGGTTAAGAATCTGCCTGCCAATGCAGCGGACAAGGTTTCGATTCCTGGTCCGGGAAGTTCCCAAATACCGCGGAGCAACTAAGCCCGTGCACCACAACTACTGAAGCCCGCGCGCCTAGAGCTCGTGCTCCACAAGGGAAGCCACCGCAATGAGAAGCCCGCGTACCACAATCAAGACCCAACGCAGCCAAAAAAAAATAAGTAGACAAGTAAAATTTAATGTAAAAAACCCAAAAACAACAAACCTTCTCTATTGTACAACGACCTATAAAAGAAATAATTTTAGAGAATCTTGTTTGGTTTACCAGAAGCTTCTTCCTAGCCAAAAACTTAGTCTGAATTCCTTCAAAGAGAGATGATAATCCTACAAATCTCCCCAAAATTGGACACTTAAGTAAAGAAATACAAATCAAAATAATTTTACAAAACATTAATAAGTGATTCTGGAACACAACAATTAAGTATAATACCTGATGCTAGCCCAGATCCAGTACAAGAGGGAAAAGGTAAAACAAAGAACATCACTGGGCCAAACTGGTATAAGACAGCAGACTGGATAAAAAGTGTTCTACCAGCTCTAAATTTAAGTTTATGAAGTTATGTCAAAGACCATCCCTATCAGAACAGGAACTAAAGTATTAGGGGTAGAGGGTCTTGCTTGATGTAAGCAACTTACCCACAGTGGTTCAGTAAAAATTACACACACACACACACACACACACACACACACACACACGGAGGGAGGGAGGGAGCAAGCTCAAGCGAGAGCAGCACAGCTATAATATGATCAAGAAAATGTGATAAAATGCTAACAAAAGGGAAGTTGGGTAAAGGGTTAGACTGTTTTTGAACCACTGTATTCATACAACTGTTATGTTAATTTGAAACCGTTTCTAAACAAAACTTTCAAAGCTTTGTTTCTTTAAGTCATTCTAGGAACAAGAGAGATGGCAGGGCACAGTGTCTGGACACGCAGGCCTTGGGTCACGCAGGTGGGGTTCAAGGGGCGCCCCCACAGCCCGCCCTGGGGCCAGGCCCCCCGCTCCGGGCTTGACTTCTCATCTTGCCAGTGGGCCTGCGGTGTAGCCAGTGGCCGCAAGGCTTGCAGGCGCTCGAGGCCTGGGTTGCCCAGCACGCAGTCATTTGCGGGGAGCTGCTGTCACGCCGAAAGCATGGCCCTGGGCACCGCACCCCGGTAGCTGAGGAACGAGCCTCCAGAAGGGTGCCAGGGTCTTAGGAACTTGCTGGGCCGCTGTCCCCGAGACGCTGAGGGGAGGACGAAGGTGTTCTCAAAGCCACTGTGCTCCAGAAAAAGGGCAATGCCCCAGGACTCCAATCCTTGTTTGAATAATAATCTAGAAACATTTTGCTAAACTCTGCTAAGGTGAGGGAGAGGAGGGTATGAGGATGAGAGACGGGGCTCGCCACAGAGCGTGGGGCTGGGGTCTGATCTGAGGCCAGGGCAGTTTCCAAGGAAGAAATGGGGGCACAACACACAACTGCCCACATTCACTCAGGCAGGCGAGAGCTTTCTCACTCGAGTATTTTGAAAGCATTTTCGTAGGAATGTTTTCTTTTGGTGTATTCTACTGAAGCCCCACAAATAAAGTAGGGCTGTCATCAGGTGCTGGTAGCAGAAGAATCACCAAAATATTGAGATGTTTCCAAAGACAGATCACAGGCCGGGTTTCCGCTCATGAGCTACTTCAGAACAAAGCAGCTATCTCGTTAAACTCCTGCTTTGCTTTTCTCCACGTATATTTTGCCCAGTATGAAGTGTACACCGTGCACAACAAATGCTGTCTCCCACTCTGCAGCACTTTAGAGTCACGTCCAGCAGGGCTGTGCTGGACAGAGAACACGCGCTGCTGGACATGACACAGAGCATCTCATTAACCCACACGCACAGCTCCGCAGCCTGGGAGAGCCACAGGCAAAACCTAAGGCAGGAGGGGCAGCAGCTCCAGGCCGGAGCAGGGGAGTTGGCGGGGGGGG